AAGAGAAAGCAAAGAGCGAAAAGGACTGGGAGGATGTGGTGCCGTTCTCACTTGGAACAAAACGAGGTAGGTTTTGATTGCTTAAATCATCAGAAATACTGTTCTAATGCGGGATTTCTGAATTTATAGGCAAAGTATGGGAAGGCGACAGCGGCCGCGAATCTGCTGAAGATGGCACCACGTCAGAGGAACATCCAGCGTCAAGAGTTGCTCGAATGGAGATGCCGATTGAACTCGATTTGGACGATGACGATGATCTTGATGAGGCATTGGATGGTGCACCTGAACGAGATCTCGTTGATCTGGCCGGAATTCTCGGTAAGCATTTTGAAAGGTGGTTTTGCTATCATGCGGACGAAGTAGTCTTGACAGAGTTAGCGTGAAATGTTACAAAAAAAAGAAGTTAGACAAACTAAACAATATGTTTATTCAGGTATGCACAATATTCTGAACCAACCGCAGTACTATAATGCCTTGAAAGGAAAGCAACAGGACGACAGTACGGGAACAACGTTTGCGGGTATCATTCGGGCATATGAGCCAAAAGAAACTCCAGATGAACCCGAAAATGACACCAACGTGGATGAATGTATTAAGTGAGTAGAGCGAGTCAGATTTTTATTGTTGCGTCAATCAAAGTTTATTATCAAATAATACTTGGCTAGTTAATATCTGTTAAGTTGTTTAAATTTTGCTCCAATTATTTTTTCCACAAGTATTGACTTGATGTAAATTAAGACGGCTAGAAGAGGACGACGAGGACATGAAGGAAGTCAATGTCAACAATATGAAACGGATTTCAAAGGTTGGTTGTCTTTTTTAGTAAGTTTTTTTTTAAATAGTTCAGCGATGCCACTTACAGGAACAAATCACAAAATTAATTTCTGCCGCCTGCGAGAGCAATCACATCACCAAATTGAGTATGGCAAACACAGCCATGTCGGACAATGAAGCGAGGGTATGTTTCTTTTTTAATATTTTTGGTTGTTCACTGCCGTACAAGTTTGAGTGCATCAAGTTTTGGGGCGGTACCACTGGTTAGTGAATTTTTTTCAGTGTTCCTGGTGTTGTTTTGTCTGATTTTTGCGATCCTCTTCACTGAAAATTTCTCACCCTTACGTGGTTCTGTACACAAGTTTCCGTGAATAAAGGGGTCATGAAAACACGATCAGAGCATCTCGTGGGGTTCTTCTTTTCGTGGAACAATCATATACCACCAACCATGTGCCCTACATGTGTATTTATAAGTAGAAGGAGGGTATTTAAGCAGTTACATACGGTCGCATTCTCTTCCCTGCGTATTTTCATCCGCATCTATTGTGTTCACATTTCTGAGCTTATTCTCTAATTATAACGGAGCTGCTTGCTGGGTACTGCTGCCAATCCTTGATTCAGCTCGTAGCGCGAATTTTTGTTTAGGAAGCGTTGGAAAGATATTGACAGCTACTCTAACTTGCTTTATGAGTATGAACTGGTGGCTGCTCCACTAGCCTATCCTTGATCGGGAATCACTTGCTTTGTCAGTCTGAAGGGACCAAATTCAAATCTAGAGCTGCAGACTCTAGGGAAGCTGGTGTTATGGACTTCTTTTAAACACCCTTTTCCCTCATTTCTTCCAATATAGGATTCCGTGACCCATTCAATTGGTGACTTTCAAACAGTTTTAGTTTCCGTTTACATCTTCCGAAGAAATTATTGGAGGTTTTATTGGGGTATTTTCTTTAAGTTTCGATTCGTTCACTGTAGAGAGTGTAGCAGTTTAATTCTGCTGCATCATTTACTTTCAGGGATTGATCAAACTTCCTCGAGACGTCTACTTCTCTGAAGGTGTTAAACGTTGAATCTAATTTCATTTCTCCCGAACTTCTGGCGAAACTCCTTCGAGCTACTCTTGTTACGCAGTGTTTGACAGAGTTCAAAGCAGAAAACCAGGTACGTTATTGGTTTCTACTGGCCTGCGCACATTAGTAATATTTCCTTTTGCGCAAAGGATTGCGTAATTTTATGCTCTGTCGTTATTCTTCTTGCATCCGCTTTGTTTGTCATCTGTGGGTGTTTATCAATACTTACGAGAAAAGCTTCAACATATTTTTTGTGTGAATCTTCTGACTAAGGAGGCAGTGGGTAAGCCAAAATTATAGTGACAGCGATTTCGATCGCGTAGAATGAACATTTCACAATTTTAAGTGGCCAGAATTGCAGTAACGTTCTCTGTTCAATTGTGAATCGTAATCATTTCCTCTCAGAAATCCTTCATTGGCATTTACTCAGGCCTAAGGAGATTCGAGGGACCACCGAAGGGATTTCTCAAGTGAATCTCCAATACATGAAAGTTTTACCTTAGCCAACAGAATCTCTCATTTCAAATCTGAAGTGCTGACGAACCACTTGCTCAAACCGATGAAAGTTGACAGCATTGGCTCTGCACCAGTTCTGCATAATCCCTGCCTTGAAAGTGACAGTTCCTTTCTGCTGGAAGGCCCAGCAACGGTTTGCAAATTTTAGGCTGGCAATTTACTCTTTAAAAAGTCTTAGGTGGGTGTCACAGTCGCGATTCGAATTTGCGCAGATTTTCGCGATCTAGCGTTCGCGCATTTGCGCGATTTTCGCGAAACCTGCGATGGATCACAGGAGTTGGAAGTGCCCGATGAATACTGCGAGGTGTTGTTTAATCCTGCTGCGAATTCTGCTTGGCAGTAAAGATTGGAAGACGAATGTTTGTGGTTCTACTTGTTTCATGTTCAATGTCTATTAGTTCATTGAAATGCTCTTGAATCGTTCCTATTTTTTTCAGGAATCAAACCAAACCAATCACAAAAATTGCAAGTGCCCCATTTGAACAATTGAAACACTGGATATGAAACAAGTGGAATCATGAGCAGTCTCCATTAAACCATAACCATCAAGCAGAAGTGACGGCGGGATTGGGAGAACACCTTGCAGTATTGGATGGGGCACTTGTAATTTCGTGACCCGTCGCGAAGTTTCCGCAACCGAAATCGCGCAAAAAAATTCGCGGACTCTGACATCAGCCTTAACTCGCAAGTGCCATGTCTCGAGTGGTTCCCCAATCCAGAGCGCCAGCCATGATTTTGCCAATTCATATAGCGCGCACCAGGCTGACAGTGCTCCTGTGCGTCCAGTAAGCACGGCCTTCCCATTCAGAACCTGTATGTATTCGAGTTTCCTCATTCTTGCGAACATTATGGGTCTAGAGCCGTGTCGAATGTAACAAAGAGCTGATAATTCTTGCTTGCCGAAAACTCGAGTTTCAGTAACGGCGGCAGTATCAGGTCATTGTTGCATTCATACATTTCGATGGTCAAATAAGATAAACATGACTAGGTGAACCCAACAAAGGTAAATTGAGCACAGAAGAAAGCAGCACTTGGACAATGGTTCGAGTGTATGCGCCCACGCTGGCGCATGGCGGCTACCTTGGCGGATGTATGGGCTGTTGATCCTACGTTGCATGGTTGACAAAGTTTTTTTTATTGCATGGTCCGGGATTTGTGTCAGGAGTAGCTCTTCTCATGAACTACATGTCTTTCCTTTTGACTTCCTTGTTTGCGTTTTTGTGTTGCCAGCATTGGGCAGGTCAGGTTTATCTACAGAGTTAAGCCAAGATGAAGAGCATTTTTTAACGTGGCGGGGCATGCATTATGCGTCTGACCCCGAGTGGCAGAGAATGAACCACTCATCTCCTCTCACCACAGTGACCCTCTATCGTATTCTTTTCTCTCAACACATAAATCAGCGGATAGGCCGTTTTTTTTTTCAACGAGCCAGTCATGTGAAGTTGCCAGGGGCTCATGGCTATGAATATGACAGAAGGGGTTGAAGTTCATACCGTTCGTTGGTGTTTGTAACGTTGCCTCTGAACAGTGAGTGGTGTTTGACACCCATTCGAAATAACGGTTTTCGCGGAGGTACTGATCAATGTTATTTGTTGCAACGCAAAGTTTAGAGCCCTATGTAAACTGCGGAACAGGAAGGGAGGCTGGTAGTGCAGTCATGTGGGTTGAAGGCATTTTTCCCAGATAATTTTTTGTATGCACTTTCTCAAAGACTAGTCGAAAGTAATACGTTGCATTTTTTTTGATATTTACAGACGAACGTGTCGAACGTACGAAGAATACGTCCTGCCACGCTCGGGCATGAAGAAGGGTGTTGCTTCCTGCAATATTCAGAAGACAATTCAATAGCGCTTACATGTGCAATCAAGATTTGAACTCCTAAGTAGCATTGGAATTTAAGGACTGGGCAAGCTTGTCCAAAGACAGCGAAAAACGGTGAATTGAAGGTCACTTTTTGAATGCGGGTAAAACTGACTGGCCATATGTCCATGATCTGACATTTCTGTCACTTTGAACGAGGTTTCGCCCGTTAATACCTTCGTCCTAAGCGCGCGTGCCAGCTTTGACAGGTTGCTATCGGGACCTTTCATTTTATTTGACGGAGGAACCGTCACCAATAATGCCACCATCCGTAGACCTTTCAGCAGGGTAACAATAAGCACAAAGCAGTTATGTTTTCAGCGCCAATCAGTGTTGGGCAATCAAGTGGAAATGGACATGACGTCGTCTGTAGAAGAAAACGAATCACTTCTACGAGTGGGCATAGCGTTTCAATCGATGGAGGCCCGTCATCGTGTATCCGACGCGTTGGAGAAAAATTATGAACGAGGTTGGGTTTTTGATAGCTTTGAGTTTCGACTTGGTTTTTCGTATGCACTTCTGAGGTTTTTTTTCTGTTTGTGTTATTGTTATTTTTATCCTTTATATGAAATTGCCACACATGGATGTGCTTGCATATTTTGCTACATTTTGTGGTGACATGCTACTAAACATCCCTTATGTCTAGTTTATGTTTCTTTTTTATTCACGTTCTTGATATCATGATTCCTCCCGCTTATTTCAATGAGGAAATTGCATGGTATAACCGAAACTGTTCTGAAATAAGGACCTGGATTCGTCAGAATGATTATTTTCATAGCTATAGATATAATTACTTGGAGGAGGATGAAAACAAAGCAAACAAAAAACCCAAAACGACTGGCAATTAGTCAAATAAGATAGGGTGGTCATATTTCTGCCTAGTGCGCTCCAACTCCGCCACTCCGCCCACATTGTTCCTCCAAACTGACTATCGATCGGGGGTAGAGGTAGGAAATAGATTATGTATTTCTGATGAAGCCTAATTTGGTAATTAGTTCTGAACTGCTTATTTTTATCCACTTTAGCCATCATTTGAAGTTTTTACTGGAAATGTCAAAAAAAAACTCCGCTAAAATACCAGGAACTCGTAAAAAGGACCTCTCCGTTTCAAGACCCCCAACATCCTTTAAACTACCTCTTAGCTCCTAAAATTTCCGAAGTGCGTGGGCTCCAATATGCGACCCCCGACACACCTCCTTCTTTCATTCTTTCAAGCAACCGAAATCCCTCCCTCGTTGCTACAGTGCCAAACAGTTGGCCCTGCCTTCACCGCAAGACTTTTTTGTATGAAGGTTGAAAAGCTTCTGTAGCTCGTGTCTAGGAGTCTTTCAGTTATGGGAATCATCAGAATGTTACTTGTTTTCAGTGCGATTGCGGCGTTTGGGAAAGTTGGAGAGTTGAGGAGTGTTTTCCTTAGTTCGTGTTGTTCGACGCTTGGAACTGTTGAATCGATGTGAAATGATCTGTCGCCTGCAGCGTCTTCCGAATGTAGTGGTCGTTTGTTATTTCGCTCACTTGTATACACACTCTAGTAGAAGAACGCCAGAGCTATTATAAAGAGCAGAACTCATTAATCTCGGTGGTCAACAAAGCAACATTAGTCGCCTTTCGTTTCGTTTTGATATCGTACACTTGTTGTTCTTGTTTTTAACCCTGATCTGGTTCTTCCAAGCGATTCACGTAGAAATTCGGTGAAATGCTTCATCGGTCTTCTTCCCTCATACTCCAATGCTTTACCGTCCTGCCCTCATCTTCAATCCCATCCGAATGTGTAGTGTATGATTTTCTCTTGAACCTTTCATCTTTGTTTCTTTTTTTGTTTTGGTTGTCATGATATTTGTGTATTTTTCAAATGTCTTATGTGTGCAATGCAATGCAACGCCGCGTTCTGCAAATCAAATGTGATTTTCTTTAGCCTTTGTCATGTATTTGTGTTTTCCGTGTATCAGCATACGTGGAAAACTTTTCGCTCGTCAACACTTTGTAGTAGTAAAGCTTATAGCAGAGTATAAACCTATCAGCTGTTCTGATCACTCTTGTTTTGTTGAATAAGCTGTCCGTAAGGTGTTGAAGTGACACCTGCTAGTGCCTCTGGCGAGTGTCAGTGAGTATAGCCAAGTGGAACTGGTTATATTTAGTTAGTCGCTTTATAACACTGACTTAGTTTTCTTGCAGATATAGCTTTGCATCTGTCGTGTCGGTATTGGGTTATGGGTTATTGCGGGATTAGGATTTCGGGACGCCAAGATCAAAGCTAAGCGTCATGTTGTTTTTATATGTAGATCAGGTGCGAATCCATGCATCATCCCGCAACAACTGCTAGGTTAGCGGAGCGCCAGGACTGAATTTCACGCCAGGTGTTAGAGAGCGTGAGTTGGTTATTCAGTCGTGGACCAGATAGGACGTGGGGAGATGGGCAGTAGATGCGGTTAAGGTGGAGCGAGGCGGCTTGAGAAAGTGACATTAAAAACAGAAAGTCGCGATAAATCGCATGAAGGAAAGAGGCTAGTAGTTGAG